AAACCCTAAACCTTATACCCCTAAACTCTAAACCCCTAAACCCGAAACCCCTAAACCCTAACCCCTCAACCCTTAAACCCTAAGCCCCTTAACCCTAAACCCTAAACCCAAACCCCTAAAGCCCTAACCCCTAAACCCCTAAACCCCTAAACCCTAAACCCTAAACCCCTAAAGCCCTAAACCCTAAACCCCTAAAGCCCTAAACCCTAAACCCTGCTGGAGATTGGCTGCACACGGAGGACGATCTTCCGCGAAGCTCAAGACGGGTCGTGAAGTGTCCGGGGGCTTTGAGCATGGAGGCCCACAGACTCCAAGATCCCCTTAATTAAGGAATATACGTGTTAAATTTTAGTAGGATCCCGAATTTGATCTATAAGGTGTATGGGTAGTTTTCTAGATTAGGGTCCCTTTGGGGTCCTTTTTAGAAGGGTACCATACTATATTGGGGACCCAAAAAGGGACCCTAGTTTAGAGAACTGCCCATATTCCTTGATTAAAGGATATGGGAGTCTCTGAAGGCGGCTCCAATCCTTATAAGCACGAAATGGCCCTAAAAAGTAGGGGTCCTATACCCTTCTACTATGACTCCCAAGGGTATATGAACCCTAAAAAAACCCTAACCCCCCAAAAAACAAACTAAACCCTAAACGCTTTTAGGGTTCATTTCGTCCTTAAGGATCGGTGTTGGGGAAGACTTGGACCGCGGAGGGAGCCAGGAAACGCATCAACGATGCGCTGGCCTTCCTAGGCAAGCGGCGTCCCGACTGGAAACTGCTGCTGCTTGGCGGGAGCCCCAATCGCTATGGGCCCGTAAGACCAAGCATGCCTGTGTCAAAGACGGGCAGCATCTGGGGCTGAGGTATGCCGAAAGAGTCTACCAAAGCCATGGCTATGTGCTCAAAACCCGTGCGGCGGGTTTAGGGTTTAGGGTTTAGGGTTTAAGGTTTAGGGTTTAGGGTTTAAGGTTTAAGGCTTAGGGTTTAGGGTTTAGGGCAGGGTTTAGGGTTAGGGTTTAGGGTTTAAGGTTTAAGGTTTAGGGTTTAGGGTTTGGGGCAGGGTTTAGGGTTTAGGGTTTAAGGTTTAAGGCTTAGGGTTTAGGGTTTAGGGCAGGGTTTAGGGTTTAGGGTTTCAGGTTTAGGGTTTAGGCTTTAGGCCCAAGACATAAGTTGATTGCGGGGGCAAACAGTGTAGCACTGACGCGTGCAGATGGTTCCCCGAAACCCTAAACGCCAAGCCGCGACCCCTTAACTTTGACCCCGTCGCACACACTGCACCTTGAAGGTGCAACTAGCCGCCAAACTTCCAAACCTCAACCCCTGAACCCGAAACCTCATTCAGACCCGTGCGAACCATTTATTCGTCGCAGCAAAATTGCGCCCTATATTAAACATATTAAACGTCTCCTAAGACTCACCTGGCCAAGAAGTCCTGTTTATACCTTGTTTATAAACAATAAACTTGTTTTCACCTTAAATCTTAGGGCCGAAATCGTGTGCGTTTAGGTCGCCGACCCAGCGCGCCGGATGAGTGCCGCAGATGCCCTGCGGCACCCATGGTGCGGCGCTCAGCCAGCTCGAGGGGCTTAGGGTTGTCATGTTAAAGCGGTTTAGGGTTGAGGGTTTAGGGTTGATTACAAATACTATTCGCTAGGGTTTCTGTGAAAAGTTTTAAATATTCGAATGTGTTTTCTGCATCCAGAAATAGATGGCTCTATAGGGGGTTCTATAAGGAACTGGGAATGCCTTGGGGTTGCTGTGGGGCTTTATGAAGCATTGTACAAGGGTCTATAAGGTTCTATATGGAGTTGGTGGACTCTACAGGGGTTCTATAGTCTAGGAACCCTAAACCCTAAACCCAAAACTGCCCTAAACCCTAAACCCTAGGGTTCACATAGTATAGGGTTTGGTAAAATAGTAGTCTTTGAAGGGCTCTACAGGGGTTCTGCAAGAAGTTCTATGTTGTTTTAGGTTTTTAGGTTTGGAGCAGTACTATGCCTCAGGGCTTTCGTCTTCATAACCTTGCAATATGGGGCGCCTCCCAACCCAAAGAGTCCTGACACTTGTGGGAACCTCAAGACGTAGGATTTCTGAGACCTCAAAGAGACCCGAGGACTCTCCCTAGGTGATTCCGGACCCTTCTAAGGAGATACCTGGACCCTTAGGGAAATCCCTTCTTCTTCTCTAGACTTCCCAAAGCCCTAGCCCTGAACCCCTGCTCTCGAAAATACCCAGGACACCCAACTTCTTCTCCGTGGTAGAATACAACGCGCAGAGGTATTGGAATGTCCCGTCTGGCCACGACAGAGGGGCAGTGCGAGCTCAGGACTTGAACCTTCAAGGGTACCGGTTGCCACGTACATGACTGTGGTCAGCAGCCGCGCCATCAGAAGCAACCGTGTCCGAACCAGGTTCACGGCACACATCAGAGCCTCCAAACTGTCGACGCAGCGTGGAACACAGGTCAGGAATAGGTTCCGCAACACAGCTGGAAGGCAGGCGCTCCCTCAATTCACTGCTGAAGCCGTGGTTGTTCCCGAGGTAATTCAGATGCAGTCAAAACCGATGCTCAAGGAAGAACCCAGGATCTTGCTCCGCCGATTGTATCCCCTGGACTACCAGTCAGCTGGAATGCAGGAGGTCTTGGAGGCGGCGGGCAAGACGATTTTGCAGAGCTCGTCTTATTCTTGTGAAGCATATGGTTCTGCAAACCCAAAACCCTAAACCCTAAACCCTAAACCCTGGACCCCTAAACCCTAAACCCTAATCCCTATACAGGAGCCCATCGTCTACCTCTTCAGACGTCCCTAATACCCCTATATAAATCTCAACAGCCCAATCTTTTGCAAGCCGCAACCAACCCTAAACCCTAAACCCTTAACCCTTAACCCTTAACCCTTAACCCTTAACCCTAACCCCTTCAAGAAAGCCACGTAGAAGCCTTTGTGGCCCTTTTCTAAACCCTAATTACGTGGACCGGGTTTAGGGTTTAGGGCTTCTCCTTTTTTTTTAAAGTGTTGTTTCTAGGAAATCATGATCGGGATGCCTAATATAGGTGGGTTGTTGGGTCCAGGTTAGCCTCACCCAGACCTTCCAACAACATTCCTTAATTCAGGAATATACCTTTTGATTAGATCATATTAGGGATCCTTCTATAATTTAAGGTGCATTCCTCAAGGGATATTGGAAGGTCGGGGCCTGAAGAACCCTGGCTCTGAGCCTTAGACCTACTACCGAAGCCCTTACAGCAGACCGTACAGAAACCTTTGTAGCCTTGAGTACCCTAAACCCTAAACCCTAAACCCTAAACCCTAAACCCTAAACCCAATGCCTCTAACCCCTAAACCTAAACTCCTATAAGCCCCGAACCCTAAACCCGTCGTTTCGAAAGTCTCCAGAGGCTCCGAAACCCCTTAATTAAGGAAGATATCTTAAATTATAATAGGATCCCTAATATGATTACCCTAAACCCTAAACCCTAAACCCTAAACCCTAAACCCTAAACCCTAAACCCTAAACCCTAAAAATAGGGGTTTTGGAGTCTCTGGGTCTCCAGAGGCTCCGAGAACATGATGCCGCCGTGGCGAGCTCCCGAGCCCAGGCTCCGAGGGTTTAGGGCTTTAGGGTTTTGGGGGTTTTGGGCTTTAGGGTTTTAGGGTTTAGGGTTTAGGATTTAGGGTTTAGGATTTAAGGTTTTGGGGTTTTTGGGTTTAGGGTTTTGGCTTTAGGGCTTTAGGGTTTTAGCTTGTAGGGTTTTAAGGTTTTAGGGTTTAGGATTTAGGGCTTTAGGGTTTTAGGGTTTAGGATTTAGGGTTTTAGGTTTTGGGGCTTTAGGGCTTTAGGGTTTTAGGGTTTTAGGGTTTAGGGCTTATGGCTTTAGGGTGTTAGGGTTTTAGGGTTTTAGGGCTTTAAGGTTTTAGGGTGTTAGGGTTTTAGGGTTTAGGGTTTAGGGTTTCGGAGAAGGATGTTTTCAGAGGGTTCCATAAGGGCTTTAAGTTGCTTATAGAGTTCCAGAAGGGTTCCGAGGGTTTGTAGAAGTCCAAAGGCTGCTTCGGACTTCTTTTTGGGTGTTTAGGGTTGAACTCAGCTAGTCCGGTAAACCCTAAAACCCTGAACCCTAAACCCTAAACCCTAAACCCTAAACCCTAAACCCTAAACCCCTAAACCCCTAAAAAACCCAAAACCCTAAATTCCCAACTAGCTCGGGGAGTTCGAGGTCTAGAGTGCCACTGTCAGGAGCTTTGTGGTTTAGGGTTTAGGGTTTAGGGTTTAGGGTTTAGGGTTTAGGGTTTAGGGTTTAGGGTTTAGGGTTTAGGGGGGTGTAGTGCAACCTACGAGAACCGTAGTCTTTTCATATCCAGGTGAAGATGGCTCTTAGGGCCCAGAACAGACGGTTTAAGGTTTGGGGTTTAGGGTTTGTAGAAGGGTACGGTTTAGGGTTTAGGGTTTAGGGTTTAGGGTTTAGGGTTTAAGGTTCAGGGTTTCTGAGAGTTTGGGGTTTTCGGGGGTATTTCGGGACTTGGGCTTGCCAGTTGGAGTTTCGGGGTCTTCTGGGTTTAAGCATCGCGGGGGGCTGGGGGCAACAGAAAAGTTGGAACACCCTAAACCCTAAATCCTAAACCTTAAAACCTAAACCCTAAACCTTATAAACCCTAAACCCTAAACCCTAAACCTTATAAACCCTAAACCCTAAACCTTATAAACCCTAAGCCGTAAACCCTAAACCCTAAGCCCTAACCCCTAAACCCTAAACCCCAAGCCCTAAACCCTAAACCCTAGCATTCTTTAACAGCGGCCCCACGAGGCGTCTGACTCTAGTGGAATGTAACCCAAGCCCAAGTCCTACCTGAACCTACCACAACCCACTTTTCTGTAGGTTCTTATTATGAACCCTACTATGGGATTTATAGGGACCCTACCAAAAAGTAGGTTCTGGTGGGTTTAGGTAATCCCTAAACCGCCGCAAATCTCTCTCTTAAGGCCCGCGCTGTAGGGGTTGTGGGTTTATGCACCCGCTGGTGGCGACGTAAAGGGACTCAGGGATTCATCGTTGCCAACCTCGCGTAAAGCCTCAGAACAGAAGCGGATGTCAGGTCCGTCATTCCTCAAAGTGCCTGAGTACGCAAAAAGATACATACTTGTGTGTATATCTATGTTGAGGGCTTGGTTTAGGGCTTAGGACCTTAGGACGTCCTTGACCCCTAGTGAAGCGTGTAGGTTTTGGGGTTTAGGTTTCGTAGTATTGCAGAAGCCAGGTCTTGGACAAGTCCGTTTTCGACGGGCTTTGCAAGTACCAGGCCTTTCCGTTAAAAGAAACTGTTGTTTAGGGCGGCTTAGGGTTTAGGGTTTAGGGGTTAGGGTTTGTTTAGGGTGTAACCTTTCGAAATCCGGCGTCATTTGTGAGGCATCTGGTTGCATCTGGTGGACTGCAACAGTGAAACTGTTCATGCATCTGAGCCGGTTTCCTGACACTATTGCACCGCAGTACGGTGCTTTCTTGACTGTCATCTCTTTCTATACCCCAAGTCAACCCTAAACTTCCTAAACCGTAAACTACCGGATGAGTACGATGGTTTACATATGCAAGCTGAAGGGCTGTTTTGATCTTAACCATCGTGATGGTGCTGCCGGTGGCGATGATGATCGGAGAAAGATGGAGATGATGAAGATGGCGATGACGATAGCGAGGTCGTGATGGTGATGTTGATGCTACATTTTTCTGTTGCTGCTGCTGTTGTTGCTTCTGGTGGTGACGATGTTGACAGTGATGATGACGACTGCGATGATATTGATAATGATGAAGTTGGCGATGATGATGGTGGTGATGATGATGACGATGATGGCGATTGCGTTGATGATGATGATGATGGTGATGATGATGATGATGATGATGAGGATGGCCGGTGGTGACGATAAAGCTGACACCGACCATGAACAACGGTGATGACGACAATGACGATGCTTGTCATTGTGATTATGATAATTATGAAGCTGTTGATGCTGGTGATGGCGACGACGGCGTCGTTGATGTTGTTGATGTTGCTAATGGTGACGGTGATGATGATGGTGCTTGCGACAATGATGATTATGACGATGACTATGACGATGACTGTGATGATGATGGTGATGATGACGATGGCCATGTTGTTGTTGATGATGATGATCATGTTGTTGGCGACGACGATGATGATGGTGATGGTGATGTGATGATGATGATGATGATGACGATGAAAATGACGATGATAGTGATGACGGTGTGACGGTAAGATGATGATCATTATGCTGGTAATGTTGGCGATGATGATGATGATGATGATGATGGTGATGATGATGGTGATGGTGATGGTGATGGTGGTGATGATGATGATGATGATGCTGTTGTGTCGTTGTTGTTGCTGCCGCTGCTGGTGTTGATGATGTTGCTGTTGAGAAAATGTTGTTTTAGCGTATTGACTGCTCGTTGCTACAAGTGTAAGCAGGACTCACATCATCTCCTTTGCTATCGCCCTCATGCCCCTGAACATGACCTAGTTTTTATCGTCTCCAACCCCTCAGACGTTGATTATTGTCTCCCTAATTCCAAAGCTTGTTTCGGACGCCCCACGAGCCAAATCGCGCCGACCATTACATTCATTGCGGCCACGTTTTATGTCACATGCATCTACTCTTCTTCTCATGAGTTGGCGAGGGGATTTCGGGGGTGGGGGCCATTTGCGGCAGAAACGCAGACTCAACTCCTGAGCCCTAAACAATAAACCCCAAACCCTAAACCCTAAACCCCAAACCCTACCACTCAGCTTCGGATTGAGAGGCACGAGAAGAGGGCTGATAGACGAAGTAGCAGAGCCAGCTTGGGCAAAACGAAGATGCACCTATCAGAGAAAGTCGCGCAGCTCCACGAAACAACAACGCGGGGTTCAGGACAGAGGACCTAAGGACGAAATGACCCTTAAAAGTAGGGGCCCTATACCCTTATACTATGAATCCCTATATGGTATATGAACCTTAAGCCCTTAATTATAGGGTTCATCTCGTCCTTCAGGTAGGCCTCGTCCTTCAGGTAGGCTGCTAACCATATAACTTGCAGCCCAGTGACGGAGCCAATCAAGGAGTTGTCTGTCCAACATGTGCGTCTCCATCACCAATAGACCTGCAGCCAATGACAAGGTGCCCCGGATTAGGCTCGTGGGCGCACGTTTAGGCTAAGACGTTTTCGATGCCGATGATGCTGAAATCCCGAGACTAAGCACAGAGGGCATCAAGCAGCTGTGGAAACGAAATCCTTTTCAGGCATCGAGCAAGCTGAAGCGCGCGATTCTGAAGCTCCTTGCGAAAGAGGCGTGGTGCAGAGTTTACCCCAAGCCGAGAAAGCTTTTCTTTTAACTCCGGACATATGTAAGAAAATCATAGCAAAGATCCATACTCAACAGGGGATTTTGTGGCCAATGTATGGCTTTCCCAAAGAGTCTTCCGGCTAGGTGGATGGGATGACGGAATCAGCTTTGTTGCTTTAGGGTTCAAGGTTTTGGACGCTTACGAGGTCTAGTATTGAAATCAGAGTTCAAGGGTTTGGGGTTTAGGCTTGGACATTTAGTTTAGGGCCGGAACTATTACTCGTCATATTCCCCTAGATTCGGTACATGACTATACTGCAACAGACCACAAAGCCCAAGTGTTATTCTCAAGGCTCCTATGTTAGGGCAGAGACCCGACGCATGCGACCTAGCGATTGAGCCACCGTGTCACTGCTAGTCACTACCTTAGGGTTTAGGGTTTAGGGTTTAGGGGTTAGGGTTTAGGGTATAGGGCTTAGGGTTTCGGGTACAGGGTTTAGGGGTTTAGGGTTTAGGGTTTGGGGGTTTAGGGGTTTAAGGTTTAGGGTTTAGGGTTCCCCTGTGTGTAGTGGTTTGGGGTTTAGCAGGCCCGATTGCACTACAGGGATCTTAACAAACAGTAACAATGACCATCTGCCCCTACTCTGAGCCATACTTAGTTTGTTATGTCTTACCGCAAACCCCTATTGCAACTGCCCCGGCCCCTATATTTCCCAATTTTGTAGGGCTCTTAGCATCTTAGCAATTATCTGATTGGGGGACCTTACTTTCTGTTTTTCACGCAGCTACCTATCCCAGAGGGTCCATATATACTACTATTATGGAATTAGGTCCCCAAAACCATAATAGGGATGGTCTTTTGGGGCCTAATTCCATAATGGTAGTGTGTATGGACCCTCTGGGTATATAAGCAATATGTTTTGCAGTTACACTGCTTAGAACCTACGTTCCGGAGCGTAGAAAATCCTCAAGCCTGTGACCCTATGAGCCTTCAGCAGGAAAACCCTAAACCCTAAACCCTAAATTGAGGCACAGAAGATACGTCTACAGGCTCTAGTGAGGGTTCCGTAGGGCTCGATAAGGGATCCTTGCAGTTTTGGCCTCGAAGTTTAGGGTTTAGGGTTTTTTAGGGCTTAGGGTTTAGAGTTTAGAGCTCGGAGTTGAGGTTTAGGGGTTTTTAGGGTTAAGGGTTTAGGGTTTAGGGATTAGGGTTTAGGGTTTAGAGTTCAGAGCTCAGAGTTCGGGAGTACAGTAGATTGTAAACGTCGCTGCCACTTGGTCTTACGTCTTCGGGCCTCAGGGTAAGGCGCTTTTACCTAGGACGGAGGGATACTGGAGCTCCTTCACTCCTAAACCCTAAATCCTAAGCCTTGAACCCTATACCCTAAACCCTATACCCAAAACCCTAAACCCTATACCCTAAACCCTAAACTCTATACCCTAAACCCTATACCCTAAACCGGATTTTCCGATGTTGTTTGTCGGACTGTGCACCGCGCCTCTTGCAACGCAGCACCGAGCCAGGCGGACGAAGAGCGTGTCAGGCCCTCGGAAGCTTTGTCACTAGATTATGGTTTGGGGTTTAGGGGTTTAGGGTTTAGGGTTTGGGGTTTAGGGTTTAGGGTTTAGGGTTTAGGGTTTAGGGTGGGGGGGGTACCAGCTTCGGGATTCTTAGGAGCCCAGTAGGTAAACTTTAAACTTTTTGGTATATTAAACCCCCTACCAAACGAAAAGTTCAAACTTTTTTGGGCCAGGGTACTGGGCTTAAAGGGATTTGGGATTGGGTTCAGGGTTCAGGGCTTGCCCTAAACCTTAAACCCTAAACCTACAAGGCATATAGAAGGCTTAGACATCCGGATGTGGGGTTTACGGTTCGAGGTTTGGGCTTTAGGGTCCCGGGTCCAGGGTTTCGGGTGTTGGGAGGGTTTATCCTGCATTTAGGGGTTTATAGGGTTCCTTTAAGGGCAGGAAAAGGCGACAGGAAGGGCAGGGGCAAGGGATCCGAGGAGCGCGAGGTCAAAGACGTGCCGTACAAACTCCAGGATTCCGCAACGGAAGTGCTCATCAACTCGCAACTGCTCACACTGGGTGCAGTGCTTCGGGAGCAACAGGCCAATGATCCCAAGGCTAAGGTTTGCGACTACGACGTTGTGCCAGCATCAACTGCGGATGACAGCGACTTCTTCACAGTGAAGCAAATATCGGATGTTTGTTTCGTGCCAGCTGCGGCTTCCGAGAAAGGTGATGAGAAAAAAAAGAACTTGCAGCTGAGCTGTGCAGCCGCTGTCCCTCTGACAGCTTGGAGCAATTCCTCGATTGTGAAGTTGGTGTGGAGTGTGCGGTGGACGGTCAATGGGCTAATGCCCGTGAGGCCGCAGGTTGTGCTGGCAGGAGACTTTCGCATTGCACCGAACGGTGTCGTTGCAGTGTAATCCGAGCGACCCTGGAACAGATACACCAGACTTGGTCCCAGGCTAAGATGTCGTAGCTGTCCTATGGAAACATGTGCAACAGAGCTGTGCAATCGGTACATTCCAGGGCTGTGCATGGAGACCTTCGCATTGCACCGAACGGCGTGTTTGCAGTGTAATCCGTGCGACCCTATAAGAGCTACCATAATTTTCGGGTTGAAGGTTTAGGGTTTATTTTAAGGGTCCGGGTATCTCCTTCGGAGGGTCCGGAGTCTCATAAGGAGAGCCCTTGGGTCTTTATAGGGTCCCAGAAATCCTGCACGCTGAGGTTATCAAAAATGCTAACCAAACCCGAAACCCTAAGAGTATAGTAGCTCTTGTAGAACGCTTGTCGGAACCCTTACAGGAACCCTAGACCCTAAACCAGGGTAAAAATAACTTCCGGTGGAGGGTTTTCGCGTCACCGAAGCTCAAAAACCCTAAACCCCTAAACCCTTAAACCCTTAAACCCTTAAACCCTTAAACCCTTAAACCCTTAAGCCCTAAACCCTAAACCCTGAAACCCTAAACCCTGAAACCCTAAATGGGCGGTTGCACGAAGACCGGGGCTTCAGTTCTCCGGAAACTTCACGGGTTTTGGGCTGTTGGGGTTTGTTTCAGTGCGCTCTTTTTGTCGTGGGAGGGTGGCAGGGGCATTCATGATTTGTGGTTCAGGGTTTTAGGGTTTTTCAGCCCTTAGTCGTTTCGGGTGTTTTTTTCTGGTTTTTTGTTGCAGTCACGTTTACCGTCAGCGTTCTTCAGCACCCAATCTTGCTTGCCGGTCCCATAGTTTTGGAATTATTTCTCAAAAGTTGACGAGCTTCTTGTTTGTATGTACATGTTGGATCCTGAAGAAGTACCTAGACCCCTGAATTGTAGTGTTTGTTGAAGAACGTATATCGTCAGAGTCTAAGATCTGGCCTTAACAAAGGCTGCCCAACGGCAAGGTACTAGAAGGGTAGGGTGCAGGTGAACCTGAAAACCTAGCCAACTCGATCCCTGAACCCCCAAACCCTAAACCCTGAAGCCCCGGTAGCTTGCTTAAAAAAAAACCGAAAGCCCTCAACCCCCCAAACCCCGAACCCAAGACCCTCTATCCCCTAAACCCTAAACGTCGATTTCAGGTTTAGGGTTTAGGGTGTAGGGCCCTAAACCAACAACCCACAAGCGCCTTTGGGGTTGTTGCAAGCCGTTACGATACCGACAGCCTGGCTTTTCATGGGTCATGACATCTATCACAGTTTTAAAGCTTCTTGCTTAGATTTTGAAAAAAAAAAA